TAAATTTGTTCTTGAGAAAGATCCTAAGAAAAAGTCTATGTCAGATTCATGACGTGTTCTTAAAGTGCAGAATTGTTCTCACCTTTGTGTGAGTAGATTCTGTTCTTACCTAAGAACAAATCTCAAATAATAAAACATTGGTGAATGTCAGAATCTTCATGAAAACTGCGAAGTGGGTTTTAAGAAGAAATTTCTTTTTAAGAATGGTTGGTTTTTAAGAATGTTTTTGTCCACAGATTACCTTACTGGACAAGTTTCTCATGCCTGCGGTACTGTGCAGAAGTCAGAGACCACCCTTCATTTATTTAATTTCCATTCAAAAAAGACATTAAGTATTTTAACAGAAAACATATATTTGACAGAAAATTACACAGAAACCTCCTGTTTTTTTTTTTTTAGTAAGTTTTTAATGTGTCCAGTATTTTACTTTTTATTACAGCTTCAATTCTTTTTCCGGAGATGTGCTTTCAGTTTTTAAAAAAATCTACAGGGATATTTTTCCACACCTCCAAAGTTTAATCTTAGAAGTTGGCTTCTCAAAGTTCAAGTCATCTCCAACATATTAAACGATATTGAGGTCTGGTCTCCTTAGGGACAAGTCTATTGCTCTGAGAACACCAACAGCTTCTGTGTTTGATTTGCAAATTTCTTCGCTCTTGGATGTGTCTTTTTTTTTTCCCCCCTCAGTAACAACTTCATGACAGCTACACGTCCTTTCAGACTCAGCGTTGAGTTGTCTTCCCACAGTAGGATGGACAGAAGCACCTGTGAATTTTTTTTTTTTTTAGATCTGATGCAAGAGTGAAGCTTGATTTTCTCCTCTCTCTCAAAGATGAAAGCTTTAAGTTCTGTTTATTTGGTGGTGGCAGTTTTGGTGGTCTACCAGGTCTTGCACGGTTGTTAGGATTATATATATTTTAATCTTTTTTTTTTTTTATCTCCAGTTTTCAAAACTCCTGTTTTAAGTTATTTTTCCTTAGACTTTCCTCCTCCTAATGCAAGTGGATTGTTATATTTAATCTCTTCATTAATATTTATTAAAAGTGAATAACGTTTTGAAAAACTATTTGTACTTAATAGCCATTTTGATTGGAAAATAAATGAAGGGTAGTCTGACAATTGCACAGTATTGTATATGCACAAAGTGTTTCAAAGTATGAGTGCTGGTCTGGTGGTATTTTGTCTTCGGCCCTGTAGTTGAATTCATTAGAATATCAAACGCAGTTTTGAAATAGGCCACCAGTGAGGGGCAGCAGGGGTAAAGGATAAACAGAAAAGTCTGGAATGGAAATAGAAAAGAGGAACAAGTAGTAATCTAAAATCTAATGTTGTGTAATGTATTTGTGTGCAACATGTGCACAGCTGAATGTGTGTTTGAGTGCGTGTATGAATTTGTTTGTACACCCACAGACACAAGCAATATGAAAAATCTGTTTTGAGCATCATTTTGAGCTTGTGTGCAAATATGACCTGAGAGTGTCTTTTCTTCTTTCACTTCCATATGGATGCTGAATATCAAAGTGAGAGAATAACAGCAGAGTGCAATATTGGTTGTGAAGCCTCTGAAACTGTTTATTCTTGAGTGTCCTCCTTGATGAGGTGACGTGTGAATGCCAGGCTGCATCGCTTTTCGGTTCACGCAACTTGAGGATTAACATTATTGGATTTTATTTGGAGTGCGTGTGAGAGAGAGGAAGTAATTTTAGACAAGCATAATTGTAATTCAGATGAGTACAAGCCAGGGAGCCTTTGTAGAACATTAGACTGAGTAATGCTCAGCATTACTCAGTAATATACTGTATGTTGTTGTTTTACCGTTAAAATAATAAACTATTATAATAATTTGTGCATAACTGTTCTCAGCCATAAAACAATGTCAATTAAAGCTGCTATGCTAGAATTATTTATCAAGCCCTTATTGCAAGCATCGTCATGTACACTAAGCTCTCTTATTTCAGCTTTTTTTCTGGCTGTTTTTTGTTGTATTTCTCTAAATTCTACTTCACTGTCCTCATATTTATTAATTTCAGTACCAAAGAAGAGCATTTGTTGTGGAAGTAAAAATGATAACATGCACACTGGATAGATGACGCTCACTGAGCCTGAATGTCCCAGAGGTTATTAGTGCCATTAGATTAGTTACATTGCTCAGACATGTAATTGACTGCTTGCTTATTTTCTCTCTCTATATTTCTTTTTAATTGCTCTCTCTCCCTTCTGCACTGCATGTTCCTGAAAGTTTTCCAGAGAAAATCTCATTTACCATGGCCCTTTTCTTTGTTCTGCCCCCATGGTGATGCTGATGGACATGTTTTTTTCTTGATTCTGCGTAATCCTGTTTAATTGCGTAACTGTGCTTAGTAACAAGAGCACCTCTTCCTGTGTGTGTGTGTGTGTGTGTGTGTGTGTGTGTGTGTGTGTGTGTGTGTGTGTGTGTGTGTATAAATATGTAGTTTACATCCTGTAAAGTTCATATCACCGTAACTGTCATCAGCGGCAAGCTGATGAGGAATCATCTACAATATTTTGGGACATACACCTGCAGTCCAAGATATGAAATACAGTGCCCTCCACAAATATTAGCACCCCTGGTTATCAGCAAAATGAGCTGTTAAAAATATTCTTGATTACTTATCTTTACTTACTTTTGATCTTTCATTCAAAATATTGGCCATAATCTAACATTTATTTAAAGTATAATGATTGAAAGAAAAACTAAATCTTGTCATGAAACATGAAAAATGTGTCATAATTATTGGAACCTTTGTGTTTACTACATTGTGCAACCTTCTTTTGCCAACATAAAGCAATCAGTGTTCTCTTACAATGCTTGATGAGATTGCATCCTCTTTCAGGCAGATTCAGTACAGTGCTGGTTGCTTATTAATTATTGACCAACCTGTGGATGTGGGCATTTTCAGGCATGTACTATTTGTATATTCTTTAATCTTCCCCAAGTTGATAAATGACTTAAGGATTTTGCCCTGTGTGTCACCTCATATTTATACCCTAGTGAAACAGAATTACCTCTTAAGTTCCACTCAGATGGACTGTTAAATATATATTGGAACATTCCATAACTACATTTTGTTCATAAGAATTTCTAGGGGTGCGAGTAATTGTGTTTTTAAAAAAAAAGCATTTTTGTTTTTGTTGATTACATTTACCTCAATTAAAAATTTATTTATCTCAAATTTTCAGTGTTTGTTTAGCATGATCTCAATGGATCTTTTTCAGACTTTTTCTACCCATCTTTACCAATAATTATAGAGCTACCTCTTGAAATGGGTTAAAAGAAAGCAGTAGTCTGTCTGTGAATCTCAAAATTGCAACTCTAATATATGTCTTACTGAAATGCTTGCTAGAAGTGCAAGTTATTCTAAGAAAGTAATTTATAAAAATTTATACTTCTAGTAAACTATGGGGCCTTTGAGCACATATAGACATGTCTGTAAGTGCAGTACATGCTTGCTCTCTCATTCACAATGTTCGATCAAACTAATAAACAATAAAGTCATTTTTACAGACTTTTTTGGCCATCTTTAACAGTGATGAGTTTACACATATTTTTGGATTGGTCTAACTTTCCATTCTTGCTGTCTCACATTCTTACTGGTTTGTTAATGTATGCTTCTTGATCAGTCGTCCTGCTGTTAGAACTTAATTGGGTTCTTGAAGGGTTTTCCAGGGTTGGTGTTGAGGGACTGATTTAAAAAGCTTAAGAGTGTTGGGAAGAGTTGAATGAAATGATGTAAGCATTAATTATGACATCAAAGAGCTTTGACATTGCATGGTAGTGTGGCTCATATGCAGCTTTATGGTTCTTGTATAGTAAAGCTACCTTAGTTCAGTAGTTCAGTATTGTAGGAAGTCGTAGAGTAATATGGTTTTGCTTTTAGGAGGCCACTTTGGTTCCGTCTTTTTATTAGTAATTAATAAAGATGCAGTAAGACTATGACAAAGGAGTGAAACACTTTAGTCATTTAATAATTGGACAGAATAATGTAGGTCCTGTGATGTTTGATGAATACTTACATATGTAGAATATTTATGCATGTCAAGTGTGGCTTAAATGAGGTCTGAATTGTGCAGTCGTGCCAGAACTTTGCAGATGCATGACTGTGCACGCATTGCTGGCCCGGTCACCGGATTATTGTTCAATCAGGATTTGATGTTTTCTGACAGAGCTGTACGACTTAGCACTGGTGCATTAGGTTTGTTTTAATTTCCCTGGTCTGCCTCTTTGTCCCGCCCCTCGGGGTCCCGAGAATGACATCCTGCCTAACGCTCACTGGACAGACACTCGACGGATACACAGAGCTTCTCAATTATCCACCACAGGTAGGTGTGTCCTATTCTAAAGTGTGTCATCATCAACTTCATCATGGATCCATTTCATCACTATGTAAGTAAGACTGACACAATAAGCATGTTATAGCATGTGTGCGCGTATGTGTGTGTCTGACGTCACAAGGGGGCTGTAGATTTAAGCGGGCTTTATTTAGTCTGTAATCCCTCATAGCAATCGGAGCGAGTAAAATGTCCCAGAGCAGGAGCCGATCAGCTCTGCTGGATTAACACAAGCCCCTGCCTACCCTGCACCAACCCTCCCCCTGAAAATTTGCCCTTCCTCCCTGTTTTCTCTTTTGCTCTGTCCCGTTGTCTGTTCACGGTTGTCGCTTTTCATTTCCACAATGGAGTAGCCAGGCAGCCTTCACCTACAGCCACTGTGTGCGAGAGCGTTTGGTGTCCTCTTTCCAACCTACACCATCAGCAGCAGTACTCCACAAATTAATTATTCAGCGGTTGCCTACCAAGAGGAGCTACCTGATAACCAGACCTCACAACCTCCTAAGAGAGGAGAGACTGAAATTACAAGTGGAACTCTGGTGAAAAAGGATAATTCCTGTGGCATTTTTTTTTTTCTTCCCTCTCATTGACTGACGTTAGCGTGTAACTGAAGAGCTGAAGCAGAACTCTAGCCTCCCGGCACGATTTTTTTTTCCCAGAGTGGAGTGTGTTTGTAGCTGATGTTGATTTCCAGCAAGCAGTTGCCGATTGGCCGTTCCCAGAGCTGGGACACGCTTGGTGGGAATGAGGGTCAGTGGGACCGCAGTGAGAGCATTTATGAGCAACAGGCCAGGATGGCTGGGCGACGGAATTCCTTGTCCTATGGAGGGGATGCAGGAGGAGGCTGGTATGAACCGTCCCCTGGCTTGCGTCCACCTGACCTGAAACGGGAGCCATACTCTTACCAGGAGTCTCTATATAACCAAACCTACTTGGATCGACCAGACCCACGCAGCGCGAGGAAGAGTTCTGTTCCTGAACTCAACAGCCACTATGACCGGCCACCCATAGCCCACCGTGGCTCTTTACCGCCACCAGACTATTATCAGCAAGATCCTGGTGTACTCCCTAGGCCACCTGAAGGGTTTTATCTTGGGGAGCAGCCTCACCCCCTCAATAGGTCAGCTTCTCATTATGGAATGATGGGAGGGACTCGGCCACCATGGGAACAGAACCAAGGTGGGAGGTCTGGTCCTCCTGCTCCTACTCCTGCCCCACTTCCTCCTCCACCCCCTATCGCTCATGAAATGACCCGCATTTACAGGGAACCTTCCCTTCCTGGTCCCCCACCTGCCACCCCAGTGTCCAAAATGATGCCAGATGGGCAGCGCATTCCAAGTCGGGCACCTTCTCCTGCTCGCTATGGTGTAGAGCCAACTTCTCCCCGTTATTGTGCTGAGCCACCGGCCTCTCTTACTGGCCGCTCATTATATGGCGACATCAATGGGAGACCAGTGGATCCTAATCAACCTACAGCCACCTGCCTGGTGGTGGATCCAGCATCTCAAGGGATGGACGGGACTTCCAGAGGTATGATCATGCGTCAGGAAAGCCCCTCACCATACACTATACAGCAACAGCAAGCACAACAACAAACCCAGCAGCAGTTGCAGCAGCAAGTTCAGCCAGTCCAGCAAATGCAGCCAGTTCAACAAGCACAGCAAATGCAGCCAGTTCAGCAAGTGCAGCAAATGCAGCCAGTTCAGCAAATGCAACAAATGCAGCCAGTTCAGCAAGTGCAACAAACGCAGCCAGTTCAGCAAATGCAACAAATTCCACCTGGTCAAGAAGTGCAGCAAATGCCTCCTGTACATCAAGTGCAGCAAACACAGCCTGCACCAGTTCAGCAGATGCAACCTGTGGCACCCCCAAATCCTATCTATGATACTAACCCTCCCTTACCTGCTCCTGCCCCAGCAACTACCCCAAGCACGGCTACTGTCACTGCTCAGTTTCCGCCTCCGCTCCCTACTCAACCTGCTATACCTGCTCCCCCTCTTACAGCCCCCCAAACTCCATTGGTTCCTGCGGATCCTAAGAGGACAGCAGACCCAGAGTTTTTGGCATTTCTGCGCAATGAAGGTCTGTCTGAGAGCACTATCACATCTCTGCTGCAGCAGGGCTTTGATTCCACAGCGATGTTGGCTGTTATGGAAGAGAATGATGTTCGCTCTGTTGCACCAAACCTAGGACAGGCTCGTGTTCTTTCTCGTGTGGCACTCAGCTGCAAACGTCCCCCTGACATACCTCCTCCCACCCCCCACTCCTCTAGTGCTCCAGTCCGTGGACGGTCTAACAGCTTCAGCCATCGCAGTGACATATATGTGCACCAGCAACCACCAATGACTCCAGGTATAGAGTCTCAGTATATGCAGCCACCCCTTAGCACTTTGCAGACCATGTCACCCAGGATGGGTGAGGTCATGAGCCGCAGACCAAGTAGTGCTCCTTCACAGCAGCTTCTGGAGGCAAGCGGTTACCCTGGAGCCAGGACACCAGGGGCTTTCAGTGGTGCCATGGTCCCTGTCCACCCTCGTCCAATGTCTGCTTATGCTCCTCAGGCTGGCCTCCCCATGCCACCCATGACTGCGATGTCCCAGCAAGTAGCCCTTCCATCACACATACCAGGAATGCAACCACACATTCCTGGCTTGCAACAGCAGATGCAGACTTTATCGACATCAATTCATGGTGTGCCGCCGCAGATTCCAGCTGTAGCTGGAGTGCCGCAGGCAATGGCTGTGCCAGCTCTGCCACCCCAGCAGGCCCCCAAGGCATATTCCACCAACTACACTGTGCCCATGGAGCTGATGAAGAGGGATCGGAGCCTGGCCACAATGACACCCATGGCCAACCCACACTCAAGTCCACAGATAATGCGGAAGCCTGGGTCAGCACCCCATGAAAGCACACTGGTACCTGTAGGTGCTGCTATAACAGGCCAGTGTGCTAGCATCGACAATCAGAAGCTTAGCCGGCGCACTGGACCACCAGTTATCGTCTCTACTATGGCCTCACCTGACACAAGTAAATCAAAGCTCTCATCACCATTTCCTCTCATCCTACACCTCTTTCTCCCTCTTTTACTCCTTTGACATGCCCTGTCTATGATCAAATGTAGGTTTGTGGGTATCTGCTTTTTTTTGTTTCTCTCTGTGCATAATTATGTTCTTTCCATAATTGTCACACAGTAACTGGAAACTAGGTTATCTTTTACAAAATTAATTCACAATTTAGTATTTATGAATTTCAAACTTCCTTTCGCTTTCCTGCTGGACAGGAGAAACAGAAGACATTCAAACATTTTTTAAAATGCTCTTATGGTAAATAGCTGTAGCTAATGCTACATTGTTCAAGAACTATGCAATCTGTTTGCTTCCCAATGGTCCCAGCATGTTGGTGCATGAAGCACTTTTCTGCTATTGAGAAATCCTGTTGTGCCCCATTGGTAGTAATTGCATTGATTTGCTACAAATAGAGCATGGCAAGCTTGCTAAGGTCTGGATAGGTGTGTATTAGAGAGTATTAACATTTTTTTTTTTGCCACTTTCTCTAGCTGTCTTTATTGGATAGATTTAGCTATTTCTCATTAATGTGGGTCTCAGAAATCTGTAGATCTCCTTCTGTGGTTAAAATTGGACCTGCTCTGAGCTTATGCCCTGTTTCTGCATGGGCAGTGATTGAACTAGTTCTCTCTATCTTAACTATGCAGTAGCTTTTCATGTTACTTAATCATGTCACTGCAGTGTTAGTCATTTGCTGTAACCCTCGAGACCACCCTTAGGATGTCAGTGACTATCAGAGCCTTTTATTTTGGCCTTTACATGCCTATCGTTTGTTAGGTTCTGAAATGAATGTGTCATGTATGGTAGAGATCTTGTAGTATTTCTTTCTCTTCTTTGGAATGTTTGTATTTCTAGCATCTCACTGACTGAATTTTGCTCAGAATGAAAGACATGTAAGAGCATCTTTCACAGACGCAGTTTATGAATCAAACTCTCTAAGAGCTGTGAAGGCTAGTGTCAGAGTCGGCACATGATGTGAGATGATGTTTGGCAAGAACTACAGGAGCCTATTCATTGTGTTCAAATCTGGAAACACAACCTGTAATGAATTCACTGAAAGACATTCAGTACTGCCTAAACAAGGCTGTAGGATAATGGGACATGATATACATGGAGTTTCCAGAGCAGAGACTGTTATATAGGGCATGTTGTAGAGCCGGGAGAGGGTTACAGTGTAGTGTTTCAGGGCTCTTGCTAATCCCACCCATGCTGTTGATGTAACAGAGCTCTTTCACCCTGCGGCCCATGAATCTGATGTGGAATAGCTGCACTGGGGGAGGGGTCCAAGAACAGTGAGTTGAACTGAAGCTGAAATAGAGATGCAGTGTCAAAACCCAGCAGGAAATTAAACAGCGTATCACCATATTAAGTCAGAGTAATCTGATTCTAATTATTGTAATCAAAGTGATGGCATATTATGAGAGAACCTCTCGAGAGAGATGAGAAAGAGATGTGAGATGAAGCTGATATGAAAGATTGGCACTCAGGATCCTGCTGCTGTTGTGCAAGAATGTAGAATGAGTGGTCCTGATAAATTGGAAATGTATTTATATCAAAAAAAATCTTTTATGCGATTGCCCTGTGTTAGTATTGCGTTGTGAAAATTACTGTCTCGCAGTGAAAGAGGAAGGTCAAGAGAATGCATGTGTAATCTGTTTTGAATGGTAAGAGTATGAGTAAATCAAGAGCATTGTGGCTTTTCTCTCTGAGCTGTGTAATGAGAAATGATAGCATTTTAATCCTTAACTCTTCTTTTAAAACATTCTCTCATCCACAGCTTCCTCTCCGTCTCTGTGAATTTATTCACTGGACTTCTTCCAGTGACTTTATCCATCTCTCTTTAATTGTTCTCTCTCTCGCTCACTCTTGTTCTCTCACTTTGGGCTCATCAGCACTTAATGACTTCAGACAGCTCTCCTCTCATGTAATGAAACTGTTACTCTGCTGTCTCTGCCGCTTCTTATCAGGTTAGATCAGACTCCTCAGTGTATAGGCCCGGAGCCTTAGTATCAGAGTAAATCAATCGAATTTTTGAGAGTTGTGACAACTGTGGATTAAAACACAGCAATTGCCTGTAAAGTCAATGTATGTACGAATATCATTTTTTAGGCTAAACTAATAAATTAACCCCACCAAGATGAAAAGTTTCAGCACCCCTACTTTGCAGAAACACTTTGCACAATTTTTGCCCCATACTTTTTTTTTGTGTTGCATTTTGACATGAGATAAAGGAACCCAAACCTTTCCCTAGCATTTTTTTAAATAAACGTTGGAGGTAATATGTAAACACTGTCCAAAAAAAAAATGTCCAAATGTACCATTCACTACCTAGTCCGTGCAGTCCGCATATGGAAACCATGCTTCAAAAACAGCCTATTTGGAATTCATTGTTTCTGAGATGTCGCAACAGTCAGCTCATTTGCAGATGTATAGACATACTCTGCATAGAGCACTTTAGCTCCACCCATTCTTATAGAAGTTCTAGGAGTGTTTCAGTCCTTAATGCTTTATGAATGAGGCACAATACATTGCAGCCAGTCGGGACAGAGCTCATTTATCTTATCAGCCTTGAAGGCACAGCAAGAAAAACAGCTTGTTTAGTTCTCAGGAATAAAGGAAGGTTGCAAAATGGCTGTGTGAAAATAAATTATGTACATTTTTTTGTACATAAAACCAAACTAGTGTCATAAGTGGAAAAAATAACATGCAAGAAAATGTAGTATATGGCCCCTTTAAACAAAAAAAAATCTCTATTTTTACAGTATTATTGCTTTTTCTTTTGTCCTTTTTTTTTCCTTTTCAATTAACTCGAAATCAAAGACCCCACTTCCTTCTTACCAGTAATAACCCTCTGTATGCTAATCCAGAAGACCCCTCAGGACTAATAGTCTCCATATAAGGACATGTGGGACTGCCCTTGGCTGAAGTCCCTATTTTTTCCAGTAAGAGAGGATTATGTAGTCATGGCAATGGATGTAGCAAGCAGAGCACACCAGAGTAGCCCAGGTCAGCTGTGTGTGTGTGTGTGTGCGTGTGCGTGTGCGTGTGTGTGTGCGTGTGTGAGTGCGTGTGCGTGTGTGTGTGCGTGTGTGTGTGCGTGTGTGTGTGCGCGTGTGAGTGCGTGTGTGAGTGCGTGTGTGTGCGCGTGTGCGTGTGTGTGCGTGTGTGTGCGCGTGTGCGTGTGCCCGTTTTTGTTTTTTTAATTTAAATCCATTTGAAATACATTACACCTACAGCTCAGGATTAGTTTAGTTGTGGTGTATTGGTGTATGTGAAGGTCTCTTGTGCCTGTGGAAGCTCAGTTGGTTAGAAATGCTCAGCAGGGACAGTAAGGCTGTGTGCTTTTAATGAGAGAATGAGATGACAGTAAGATTACTCTTCAGGTTAGAAATTAGACACTGAAGTGGAGAATAGTGGTATGTAGGACTTGAAGCAGGGCTTTTAGGGTGTATGGTCTATATTAAGAGTGGCTGAACTGGATTTGTGATGAGATTTTGTGCTGTTTATAAGATTTGTGGTCAGAATATTGGAACCATGTGTTTAAATGGTGGAAGAGTGTTAGCAGTGAAATTTTAATTTATTCTTATTTCCCTCAAGCACTTTAAATGATACGGTACATCTTTTTCTCCATTTCCTGATAAGCCAGATGTCCTTCAGCTAGGGTCTGCAAAGTCTGGATGTTCAAGTTTGCTTAATTTGCTTGCCTTAGAGCAGTGCATGTGCTCTTTCTCTGAATTTCTATGAGGAACTTGTTTGGGGTATGTTATGTGATCATGCCTGTTGTGTTCCAGTGATGTGCACATGACATGCATCAACAGTGCTTTCTTTCATGTCCTACAGCATGATTTTAAGGATGTCATGAGCAAAGCGCATCACGCACTGCCTGTGTACTGGTACCCATGCAATTGGTCACAGAATTGGCCAGGAAATGTACTGACTTCAGAGACTTTGTCCATCTCTGTCCACCAAAAGGCAAAAGGGAATAAAGAGTATAAACTTAAAGTGAGTTGGGAGGGAAAAGGGTGGAGGAAGCAAGAGAGCGGAAAAGAAAATGGGGCACAGTCAGTAAAAGTGGATCCAGTGGCCATATGTTCAACTCCACGTCTTCATTCACCACTGCGGTTTTGGAAATAAAGGAGGAGGGGGCAGGGGAACATGGGAAGAAGAAAGAGATGGAGAGAAGAGGGATTACAGACATAAAATCCCACCAGCCATCTGTGCAGGGTTGGGCTTGATGGGTAGGGTGGGTCACCATACATAATCCAGTAGAACTGAATGAACAGAACATAATCTCCATTTGGAAATTATGCTTGCTGCAGGTCACAGCATGACCTCTCTTAGGCCTAAAATTGAGTGTGTCTCCCTCTCTCTGTCTCTCTCTTCCTCTGTCTGTCTGTCTGTCTCTCTCTCTCTCTCTCTCTCTCTCTCTTTCTCCCTCTCTCTGTCTCGCTCTCTCTCTCTTTCTGTCTCTCTCTCTCTCTCTCTCTCTCTCTCCTCCCCCTCCCTCCATTGTTGACTGTTTTGGGACTGTGTACAGGTATTGGCATGTGTACAGTGAGGATGAGATACCAGTTAGAGATTGTTTCAGTGATTAGTCCATCAGGCACTTACCTTTGCCGCCTGTGGAGTGTGAGTGTGAGTGTGAGTGTGACTGTGTGTGTGTGAGAGAGAGTGTGTGAGTCTCATGAAAACTGATAAAAACTGGGACTCAACCTGAGAATAATTAAAATGACTAATATTTAATCATTTCTTTTGTTAGATATATGAATGATAATGCCTGGCTGAATAATAATAAACAAACCTAAATTATCTAATCAGATTTTTAAGTGACCAGTTGAAGTGACCTAATTTTCCATTCTAAGGTCATTACTGACACAAAGGCAGATTTTAAAAGTTGTGTAATGTATTTTTTTCTCAAAATGTCAGACTAAGCATTTTAAAACTACTTATTTTAAAAAATTT